TAGGGGGAGATCGAGCTTAAGAGGTACTGAGTTTCCACCTAGGCTGAAGCAAAAAAGAAAATCTAGAAACGCAGCGCGCTGACAGCTGCGCAACCTGGTGAGTGTAATGACGGTCTCTACCAGCGCTCCTGAAGGCCGAATTGCCAATGTTTCATTATACGGGGGCCTTCAGAATTTTTACACCAACTTTTGGAAGCCCCCTCAAGTATATTTCAACATGATAAAAAAATTTTTTTTTTTTAAATAAAGAAAAGCCTGAGTGGTTGATCAATGTTAACAAACATACACAGGAATACAGGCTGCCAGTAAGAACAGAACTTGTGTAGGAGTGTGGGGTTGGGGCCTGGGAGTGGGAACTCTCAGCATCATTTTTTTGTAAACCAAAACTGCTCTCACAAAATGTGTTATTAGGTGCCCTTGAGTCAAGTCCAACTCATAGCAACCGTACAGGACACATGAGAACTGCCCACAGGACTGCCACCTTTACGGGAGCAGATCCCTAGGTCTTCTCTCCTGCACAGTGGCTTATGGCTTTAACTGCCATGTGTATTTGCATACTAATGAAACAAAACCAAACAAATAAATCACAAGGAAGGAAATGTTTGGGGCCCTGCTTGCTCAGAGTAAGGGATGTGTGAAGAGTTCCTAAAATGGCTGAGCTTAGGGGGAGACTCGGATCTGAGCTGAACCTGGAAGGACCAACAGAGGCGGGGAGAGAGGAGACACTCATGGAGGAGGGGTAGCATGCAGGAGGATGAGGGTGGGGCTGGGCAGCAGTGCAATGGAGGAGAGGTGAGGTCTGAGGGGAGTCTCCCAGAGCTGGGTGGGTCTCACACTCAAGCGCTCTCCAGCAAAGCACTCCCAGTGGCCGTCTGTGGAGCATTTGCTATAGGCTAGAAGGCATCAGACACTGTCCTGGGCTAACTGTTAGCACAGAATCACAGCTGGGGTTCAGGAGGCTGTTAGAGTCAGGGAGAGAAGGCAGAAAGACAGAGAACGAAGACACAGAGAGAAAGACAGACAGGAAGACGGGGAAACAGAGGCAGAGGGATCGCTGCTCCACTGGGCTGAGTGAGAAGTCCAAGGCAGAGAGAAGGATTCCAGTGACTGCTTCTGTAGGCACCAGGAAACCCCTCCCTTCCTCTACAACTTGAGATGCAAGGCCCAGAGGAGCCCCCACCCAGGGCTTTCTGCCTGCATCTCCATGTGTTGTCAACAGCACCCACAGGCAGGACCAGGTATGGGACCAGTATGAAGGCCCAGAACGCCCTCTAGTGGCCGTCCGACACAACTTGGGCAGGGGAACCCCTTAACTAAGGCCTGGGCAGAGAATGAGGGTCCACACCAACAGAGGACTGGGAGGATTCCCTGAGGTTAAGTGATGCCCAGCAAGCGGATGATGCAGAGAAGGAGGAGAAGCCTTGGTGGAGCAACCCACTCCCCAAGAAATCTGGGGCTCACAGAACTGACCACTGGCAGCGGAGCTCAGGGTCCCTTGTGCTGAGGGGCCGTGGTCCGGCCACCAGCTACACTACATGCTTAGGAGACCTTCAGAAGTTAAGGGGTGTTACTCACCTCTTGCAAACCTAAGGGTAACTCCACTTGCTTTGCGGTAATGTGAGACACCCCCGCCCCCACAATGTCCAAGCTGCTGACCCAGATCCTGAGGAACCCCTTTACAGCAAAGGGGGCACCCCAGTGGACACAGGCCAGTGTGGAGAGGAAGTTGTACACACATCTTGTCCTGAGCATTACATGTTACACGTCCTCACAGAACCCTGGGGGTGGGGGTTCCTCCACTGAGCATCACCCCAGAAACTCATGGGGACATCTGTGTTTCTCATCTCCAACTGAAGGTCTTTTGGGTCCAGAGGAAAGCCGCTTCCACGGTTCCTATTGGTGGTGGTGGGGGGGGTCTTGGCCTCCCTGCCATGGCAACAACCTGGTCACTTCCAGCTTTTCTTGGCAGAAGACCCAAACAGGAGGGGACAGATGGAGTCTTCCACAGCAGGGCGGGCTCTCTGTGGCAGGGGTTCCGCGACAGATGGGCTCCCCAGACGCATTCCCTAAAATTGCTGTCTGCCCACCCGCTTGCTCACCTTACATGCTGTGCCCAGGAGGGCGCCGTCCCGGCTCCAAGCTGCACTCTGCACCAGGTCCCCATGGTCCGTCAGCTCTGTGGAGAAGCAGCAAAGGTCAGGGGGGTCCCGGAGTCCCCACCCCACGTCGGGAGACAAGGGCACCTAGGAGGGAGTGGAGGTGAGCCCGGCTGGGGGCAGAGACAGCAACTCCAAAAGTCCCTTCCAGCCGAGGGGAGAAGGATTCAGGGCAGCCCTGCCCCACCTGCACCAAGGAGGGGGGCTTCCTCCTCCACCCTCCTCCTACCAGCACGAAGCCACGCTTTCTCCCAAAAGCCTTGCAGTTCCTGACTTCTGGACCAGGCACTTACTTCTCACCCAGGTTTACTCCCAGCACTCTACTTTGCACTGGCCACTCATTCCTGCCAGCTCTGTGCTCCTCTCCTACTGCTTTCAAACATGTCCACAAATTCATAGACACTCCTCCCTTAATTCTCTCCTCATGTGTATGACTTGGGGATGTGTTTCTAACCAAGAAATCCAGCAGAAGGGATGGTATGAGATACCAAACACTGTCACAAAAGGTTAGGTGGCTTCTTCCCTCTGGGGGAAAGCAGTCTCCAAGTTGTGAGGGCACACAAGTGGCCCATGGAGACAGAGAACAAAGAGACGTCCAGCCAACAGCACTGTGGGAAGGAGTCATCCTGGAAGCAGAAGTTCCAGATTCAGTCACGGGACTTCATCTTTTTGTTTTATGATTTTGCTATTGAGACTATATAGCAAAACTTATACCACATCGGCAAATCATCCATGTTATTGTTTACAATCATTACCAGCTGTGCAACCATTGTCACCCTGCTTTTCCAAACTTCCTCAGCGGCGAGACTAGCTTCCTCAGCAGCGAGACTAGCGAGGCCCGGCCTCAGGTACTTTGGACATGCTGTCAGGAGGAGTGGGTCCTTGGAGAGGAACATCATGTTTGGTAGATAGTCAACAAACAATAGGAAGACCTAAAACAAATCTTCACAACGAAGACCATTCCCATACCCTCAGTACACAGGGTAGACAGGGATAGACAACTTGGACATTGGCTACCCAAAATGGGGGGGAGGGCGCTACAAAGTCAAGAAGTGACTGGCTTACAAGCTTTCAAGAGGGAGCCTAGATCCAGGGGGCACGGAAGGAAGGAAGGTAGAATCTCCACTGAGTTGTATCCAATCTGTCTGGGTAGGGCTGATGAAAGGAGATGGGGACAGGTCTCCTGTGGCACAACAGTGAATAATTGTTATCAGGACTGACTGTGAGGGTTGGAAATGTAAAGGTAGACATTTTGTAGCAAAAGGAGGGGAGCAATTGACTTTGCAGTCTGGGAGCGGAGGTCCCTGGGACCATCAAGGGAGAAGAGCGGAAAGCGGGACCCTACCCAGAGAAGCAGTGACGCCAGAGATGGAGGCAGAGACGATGATGTGGAGAGATGGAGCAGCTGGGGACTTTAGACCCAGAGAGGGAGAGTGACTGTGTGCTGTCAATCAGGGGGCAGGCTTTTAGGTATACCCTTTCATTGGTTATGATGCATGGAGGGGATTGTAACTGTAGCAATGAAATGCTATACGACAGAATAAATGTAAAACTAATGTTCTCCCATGTAAACTATCACATAAGTCACAATAAAACATTTAATACCCCCCCCCAAATAGGAAGACCCTTAATAAAATACAGATGGCCTGACATAGTGGCTGCAACAACAGGCTTCAACAACTGTGAAGATGGTGTAGGATCGGGCAGTGTTTTGTTGGGTGGTATACAGGCCTACTGTGAGCTGGAACCAACTCAATGGCACTTACCAACAACCACCAGTTATAAACTCAGTGCCGTCTCCGTTTCTTATCTAATCGTTTAGGGTTAGGGTTATGGCTAGGACTAGGATTAGTGTTAGAGGTAGGGCTGGGCTACAAGCAAGGTGTGGTTTAATTTTAGGGTCAGTTAGGTTTACTTATTTTCTTGAAATCTCTTGATTTCTTCTTCACTCGCAAGTTCTATAACTACATTTTCCCTCTTTTATTGTTGGTGTTGCAACTGCTATCTCTGGTTCTGTTTTCAGTCTTGTAGGTCTGTTTTGGAGTCTTGCTGTGGTGCAGTAGGATGAGCAATGGACTGCTAACTACAAGGTTGGTGGTTCAAACCCACTAGCTGCTCCTTGGAAACCCTACACAGGGTTGTTATGCACTGGAACTAAGTTGACAGCACTTAACAACAACAGGTCTGTTTTACTTTTAATACATCTATATCTGGGTTAGGAGCTCTGGCAGCGTAGTGGTTATGAGTCGGACTGCTAACCACAAGGTCAGCAGTTCGAAACTACCAGCTGTTCCGCGGGAGAAAGATGAGGCTTTCTGCTCCCGTAAAGATTTATAGCCTCGGAAAGTCTTATACAGGGTCGCTATGAGTCGGAACCGACTCCATGGCACACAGTCACCACCACATCTGGGTTAACTACTGTCATGTATGCTAGTCTCAGGTTGTTGTCCGGAGTTGTTGGTTCTCTGTCGAGAGATTCCCTTTGGTATTTTTTCTAAGGCTGGTCTACTTTTTCTAAATTCTTCTAATTTCTGTTTATCTTAAAACGTTCTAATTTCACCCTTTTATTTGATGAACAGTTTAGCTGAATATGTGATTCTTGGTTGGCAATTTGTTTTCTTTCAGAGTTTTCTAGATGTCATCCCATTGTCTTCTTGCCCGCATGGTCTCTCCTGAAAAATCCGAACTTAGTCTTATAAGTTCTTCCTTGTAGGGAGTTTTTCATTTTTCCTGAGATGCTCTCAGGATTCAAGAAGTTTGACTTTGTGTCTTGGTAATTCTCCTGTGAGTTCTATCCTGCTTGGAGGTCGTTCAACTTCCTGAAGGCATATCTTCTCGTCTTTCAGGATATTAGAGAGGTTTTCTTCTAACAACTCTGGACAATTTTCTCCATGGTCTCTTGATTCTCTTCCCGTTCTGGAATTCCAATCACATTGAATTATTTCTGTTAATATAATGTCCCACATAAATCTCAGGCTTTCTTTAGATTTTTTCAATTCTTTTTTTCTGACTGTCTAGCAGATGAATATTGAGAGATTTGTCTTCAAGCTCAGTAATTCGGCCTTCCATGGATTCGGTTCTATTTCTTTGCTCTTTCAATGTTTGATCTACTTCTGAAGTCTTACTGATAATCTTCTGGTCTTTTATAATTGCTATTTTTGTACGGCTTCCAAATTTTCATTTATTTTGTCAGTTTGTTTCCTGAATTCTTCTAAAGTTTTGTCTGAGTTCTTGATTTTACCTGCAGTTTTCTCCATTACACCCTATATCTACTGTAGGTACACAATTAACATTCTTTTAAATTCTTTAGCAAGTAATTCCAATACTGCTTCTGGTATTATATTTTCTGACTCTGTATTTTGTTTGAGGCAATCGGTTTTGTTTCCTCGTGTAGATAACAGTTTGTTTTCTCTGAGACATTATGGTGTTGAATTTGCATTTAATAATGATTGTATCTTGGTGTGTTCTCAGGCACTCACCACCTGTCTCCTGCTGGATGTGACAGAGACTGGCAGTGTAAATGCAATTCTCTGTTCACTGGTTGTGAAGCATAGTTCTGGGTGAGTTCTCGTGGCTCCAGAAGCAAGGTTGGTATGCCTGGCACTTAACCGTGGGCAGAGCAGAGGTTGCACAGGAGAGGGTACCAATGACTGCTGGGTGGGCGAGGGTAGGGAATGATGACATTCCCGGTTACCAGAAGGGCCTGGGAGCAAGCGAAACCATGCCTCCACCTTACCAAACAGTTGATTTTTGAAAAAGCAGGTCATTAGGACTTTCTTCCAAGATTGCCTCTGGGTGGACTTGAACCAACAACCTTTCAGTTAGCCAGTGAATGCATTAACCATCTGCACCTAGGGACTCCTTAGGTAAGTTAACATGAGGCCTCAGACTACCGCCCTGAGATCATCTGTAAACCTTGAACCATATTTAATCCTCTGACGTCTTAAAATCAAGCAAGAGTTTAACTAGTAAAACTGTCTGCCTTAAGCACTGCGCTCTTTAAGGGCAGTTGTTTTGGGGTTCCAACTCACAGAGCGTCTGTACAGAGTTTCTAAGGAACGCCTGCCGGGTTTCAACCATGGACCTTACAGTTAGCAGTCCAGTGCTTGTCCTACAGTGGCACACCAGGACTAGTTACATAGACCCAAATCAACAAGAGCAACCCAACAGGAAACGTAGGGAGCTGAGTTGATGTTAACAAGGGAAGAACAACTCAGAAAAAGAGGATGAGAATGGTTGTACACCTTGAAGAATACAATCAGTGTCACTTAGCTGTACCCACAGAAATCACTGAATTGGTGCCTGTCATGCTGTGAATATTCTCAACAATAAAAACAATGAAATAAACAACATTTTAAGTTAACTGGATGACGTGGAGAGATGGAGCGGCTGGGCAGTTTAGACTCAGAGTGGGACCTCTCTGTGTGCAGACGCATACCCCCTTGCAGGGTACACCCTTTGGTTTGTGGATGATGCATGGAGGGGATTGTAACCATGGCAGTGAAACGATACACGATAGGATGAATGGAAAGTTAATGTTCTCCCATGTAAACTATCACATAATTCACAATAAAATATATATATTTTTAAAGTTAACTGAGGTTATTCTGGATCAGGCAGGGCCCTAATCCAGTATGAAAAACCAAACCAAACCCAACCCACTGCTGTCGAGTAGGTTCCAACTCACAGCAACCTGGGACAGAATAGAACCGCCCCAAAGGGTTTCCACGGATACAAATCTTTTCTAAATCGTGAAATGAGTGAAGGTTTACATAGCAGATCATTAGTTTTACATTTATTCAACAAATCACACAGTTCATTTCATCTCACTGACTGCATCCCCTCAATGTGACATCACTTATCCCACATCCGCCCTGTTTCCTGTTTCCATTCCTCCCTCTTTCCTAACCCTTCTCAACCTTGCCCTTGAATAAATGCTGCCCTTTTGATCTCAAATGTTGCTCACTGTACATTGTGTGTAGCTCTCAAGTGTTGTTGGTCCTACAGACCTATTTATTGCTTGGCTGAAAACAGAGCCCAGGGGTAAGTTCAGTTCTAGATCCAATGGGAGATCAGGGGTCATAATCTCAGGGTTTCACCAGGAAGTCTGATCTATTTTACAATTTTTGGTTCCACATTTTCTCCAACTCTATCCTGGACCTTCACAGAGGTAGACTACCATATGGCTCTCCCTTAGAGGAGCTGGTGGATTCAAACAGCCAACCTTTTGGTTTATAGTCAAGTAGTCTAACCACTGTCCCCTAATGCAGTCTCAGAGGTGTCCTTATAAAAAGAAATGAGACACAGACAGATAATACAGAGAAAGCAGCCTCATACAAACAAAGACAGAGATTGGAGTGGCGTGTCCATATGTCCAAGGACGCCAAGGATTGCCAGGAACCAGCAGGAGCTAGAAAAAGCAAGACAGGAGCTTTTCTTCAGAGTCTTCAGAGAAAGGATGGCCCTGCCCACACACACCTTGACAAGACACTTCTGGCCTCCAAAACGGAGACAACAGATGTCTATAGTTTTTAGACACCCAGTGTGTGATAGTTAGGGCAAGCACTGGAAATGAACACAAAGAAACTGAGGCCAGCAGCAGAAGAAAAGAGCTGGGAGACTTTGGTATAAAATTAAAAATTCACATGAACTCCAAACTCCTGCAATGAAAGTGCAGACCGGGATACAAGTGGTCTCAGACAGGGAGACCAGTGTGGTCAGTACCTGTGAGGGGTAGCTGCTTGGCCACGTCCCAGACCTTGGCAATCTTGCCGGCTGTGCTCACCAGGACCCCGTCAGCGGTGGGGTGAAACTGCAGAGCCTCCACCTGAACAGCCTCGGGGCCGAGCACTAGCCCGGGAACTGTGGGCAGGGCCTGGCTTGAAGCAGGCAGCCGCCACAGCTTCACCTGCAGGAAAGATCACGTGTGAGCCCTGGGCTGGGGGCCTGGCTGGCCTGCACTGGAATGGGGCTCCGCAGTACAACATGCCCTACCTGTCAGTGGGCAGTCATAGGGCCTGAGGCAGGAAAGGGAGGCCAACTCCAGGGTCACAGAGAACATGGAGGCCACCCACTGGACCTCTGGTGGTCCCAGCTGGCCCTGAAAGCTGGCAGGATGACCCTGGGTCCTGACAGGAGGGGAAGGGGCTGGACTGGGAGGTAGCACAGTCCCACAGGGGTTGAGAGAGTCTCACATGAGGGATGGGGTGGGATGAGGTAACAAAAAGCCCTTCTCACAAGTTCCACTCACCGTCCTGTCCGCTGAGCCTGTGGCCAGGAGGAAGTCATCAAAGGGAGAGAAATCGAAGTCCGTGACCAGGTCTGTGAAAGAGGAGGGGTTGATGCCAGGCTGAGGAGACCCACCTAGAATGTTCTGTTCCCAAACCCAACCTGGGGCTGCTGCCCACACATAGGCAGGCAGCAACTCCACAGACTAAGCCACCTTTGGAAGCCATACGGGCAAAAGAGCCACAGGCTCTTTCCTGGGACACCTGTCCCCAGGAGTCCTGCTGAGTCACGGTGGCTCAGGGCCTGGCCTCAGCAGGTTGGCAGCAGAGGCGCTCACAGTACTCAGCTCCTCCAGCCAATGCCTGCTGGCAGGGGCACACAAGGTGTATTTGCAATATTAAAGAAGATGCCCCCATACAAATTAAACCCTTCCCAACAACAAAACCGACAAAGTGGAGACAAGTTGAAATAATTAGATAAGCCAAAACTAGTGTGTGGAATGCAGACACAAGCCACCTACTTCCGCCTAAGTGACAGACAACCAGTCATTTCAAACGTCCCTTTGGGAACAACTCACCCCTAACAGTCTGCACTGGGTACCAGCTGGTCAAAATGGTCACATGATGTGCTTCCTATTTGCAAACAGTTTCTTCCTACTCAATAAACCTTTTTGCTCTGAGAAAGGGAGAGGCTGAGGACTCTAGATTCATGGAAAGAGAGGAACTGAGAGCTGGCAGCTAGGAGTCAGACTTGCAGAATGTGCCCTTTGGTGGTTTAAATTATTATATATGCCTGAGTGTTTGGAAAAACAAAAAAAGAGCTAAAATGAATAGAGAAAAATACTGTTAACTCATGGTACATGGTGGTGGTGGTGGTTATGTGCCGTGGAGTTGGTTCTGACTCATAGCAACCCTGTACAGGGTTTCCGAGGCTATAAATCTTTACGGGAGCAGAAAGCCTCATCTTTCTCCCGTGGAACAGCTGGTAGTTTTGAACTGCTGACCCTGCGGTTTGCATGAGGTCATATGGGAGTAGGGTGAGCCCTGACAGCTCTGAGCTCTGTCCTCACAAAATCTGTGTCAACTCGGTGGGGCCATGATTCTCCGTAGTGTGTCCTTATCCTTCACACTGTGATGTGATGGAATTACCCTAAATGTTGTAAATCCTCCCTATGAATCCTAGCATTAGCACGGGACTGTGAACCACAAGGTCAATAGTTCAAATCCACCAGCTGCTCTTTGCAGGGTTGCTATGACTCATAACCAACTGGACTGCACATAACAACATGATGATGTTAATCTACATTATATTGCAGTTCATCCTATTGTGGTGGCTTGTGTATTGCCATCAGTATTTTAAATATCAGCAGGGCCACTGATGGTGACCAGGTCTCAGCAAAGCTTTCAGAGTCTAACTAGTCAGGAAGAGAAGCAAACCACTTCTGAATGGTTAGTCACTGAAAACCTTATGAATAGCAGAGAAACACTGGCAGATATAGTGCTGGAAAATGAGTCCCTCAGGTTGGAAGGCACTCAAAATACAACTGGGAAAAGCTGCCAGCTTGGCCTCAACATTGTGCATAGAACAAGCTTGGGGGGAACCTTCATTTGCTAATGGGACACAACGCAAAATGAGAAGAAACACCTGCAAACCTCCACTAATAACCAAAACATGGAATGAATGAAATATGAATTTAGGAAAACATCCAAAATGAAATGGAATGAATGCAGAGATCAATACCCTAGGCATTATAGTGAGCATAAATGGACAGGTGTTGGCCATTCTGATATGGACAATCATAATGTTTTACTATGTCAGAAATGGCAAATTGAAGAGGAATGTCACCATTCATTGTCAAAAAAGAACACTTTAAGTTCTTTTTATAAGGAAGACCAGTTAATAACACTATCATTCAAATTTAAGCATCAACCACTAATGCTAATGATAAAGAAATTGAGGAATTCTACCAACTTCTTCAGTCCAAAATTGATCAAACATATATAATCAAGATGCATTGATAATTACTGGTGACTGGAATGCAAAAGTTAGAAACAAAGAGGAAGAATCAGTAGTTTGAAAATATAACCTTGGTGATAGGAACGATGCTAGATAGAGCATGATAAAATTTTGCAAGGATAACAACTTATTTGGAGTCCTGGTATGGCACTGTGGGTTAATGTGCCAGACTGCAAAGCCATTTGAACTGCAAGGTGAGCAGTTCAAGCTCACCAGCTGCTCCTCAGAAACCCTATACAGGGTCACTATGGTTCGAAATTGACTCTATGGCATTTAACAACTTATTTATTGCAAATACTTTTTCCCCCCATAAATAAACAGCAACTATATACAGGGACCTAAGCACAGGACATCAGATGGAATACACAGGAACTAAATTGACTACATCTCTGGGAAGAGATGATGGTGAAGCTAAATATCATCAGTCAAAACAATAGGAATAGGCTGCCAATTGCCCACATGTAAGAATAGACAGAAACTGAAAAAAATTAAAACAAGTCCACGGGAGCCAAAATATGACTTAGAATATACCCCCCACCTGAATTTAGAGACCATCTCAAGAATAGATTTGATGAATCAGACACTAATGACTGAAGATCAGACTTGTGTAATGACATTAAGACCATCCTCCATGAAGACAGCAAAAAGGTCATTAAGCGGGAAAGCCAGAAAGAAAAGACCAAAATGGATGTCGCGACTCTGAAATGTGCTCTTGAAAGTACGAAAGCTAAAGCAATGGGAAAAAATGAGGACGTAAAAGAGCTGAACAGAAAATGTCAAAGGGTCACTCAAAAAGACAAAGTACTAGAATGAAATGTTCAGTGACCTAAAGTTAGAAAGCCAAAAGAGAAGAACACAATCAGTATTTCTCAAGCTGAAAGAACTGAAGAAAAATATTCATATTTCAGGTTGTAATATTGAAGGATTCTATTAGCAAAATATTGAATGAAGCAGGAAGCACTAAAAGAAGATGAAAGGAATTCAGAATCACTGTACTAACAAGAATTGGTTGATGTTCAACCATTTCAAGAGGTAGCATATGATCAAAAACCAACTGGATTGAAGGAAGATGTCCAAACTGCACTGAAGACATTGGCAAAAAACACAGCTCCAGGAAATGATGGAATACAAATGGAAGTGTTTCAACAAACTGATGCAGTACTGGAGGCATTCATTCTTCTATGTCAAGAAATCTGGAAGACAGCTACCTGGCCAATCAACTGGAAGAGATGCATATTTATGCCCAAAGAAAGGTAACCCAATGGGATATAGAAATTATCAAGCAATATCATTTACATTACATGCAAGTAACATTTTGCTGAGGATAATTTTTTAACGGTTACAGCAACATGACAGGGAGATGCCATATATACAAGCTGGATTCAGAAGAGGACATGGATGAGGGATATCATTGCTGATGTCAGATGGATCTTGGCTAAAGCAGAAAATACCAGACAGATGCTTACTTGTGCTTTATTGACTATGCAAAGGAACTTAACTACATAGATCATAAGAGAACTATGAATAACATTGCAATGAAAGGGCATTCCAGAATAATTAAGCTCACAAAGAACCTATACATAGACCAAAGTAATCGTGCAAACAGAACAGGGGAACACTGAATGGTTTAAAATCAGGAAATGTGCACACCAGGGTTGTACCCTTTCACCATACTTACTCAAATTGTACGCTGAGCAAATAATCTGAGATGTTGGATTATAAGAAGAACATGGAATCAGAATTGGAGAAGACTCCAAATTATCACCTGTGATATGCAGATGACACAACCTTGCTTGCTGAAAGGGAAGAAGGCTTGAAATACTGATAAAGACTAAAACTACAACCTTCAGTACGGAATGCACCGCAACATAAAGAAATGAAAATCCTCACAGTTGGACCAATAAATAACTCATGATAAACAGACACAATACTAAGGTTGTCAAAGATTTCAATTTCCTTGGACCCACAACCAATGCTCTTGGAAGCAGCACTCAAGAATTCAAACAATGTATTGCATTAAGCAAATCTGCTGCAAAAGACATCTTTAAAGTAACGTAGAGCAAAGATGTCAGTTCAAAATCTACGGTGCAGCACTTGACTCAAGGCATGGCATTTTCAATCGTCTCACATGCATGTGAAAGTTGGACAACGAAAAAAAAAGACCAGAGAAGAATCAATGCATTTGAATTATAGCATTGGCAAGGAATACTGAAAGTACTGCCAGAAACATGAACAAATCTATCTTGTAAGAAATATAGCCAGGATCCTACTTAGAAGCAAGGAAAGCAAGACTTTGTCTCTTGTATTTTGGACATGTTGTCAGAAAGGACCAGTCCTTGGAGAAGAGCATCATGTTGGTAAAGTGAAAAGTCCATATACAAGTTCTATGTACAAGTTCCTCATGAGCTTAATTAAGTATTCTAGAATACCTACTCTTCGCAATTTTATTCATAGTTTTGCTATGATCGACATATTTAAGTGCCTTTTGTTGTCGTTGTTAAGTGCTGTCAAGATGGTTTCAATTCATAATGACCCTGTCAAGGGTTTCCTAGGAGCAGTTGGGGACTTTGAACCATCAACCTTGAGATTCAAACTGACCTTGTGGTCCAATGCATTATCCTGCAGCACCACACTAGGACTCCCTGAGAATGAGGAAGACCCCCAAGGAGATGGATTGGCACAGTGGCCGCAGCAATGGACACAAACTTCAATTTCATGTAACAATTGTAAGGATGGCAGAGTTGCTACAAGGTGGACCTGACTCAATGGCACCTAACAATAACATGAAGTTAATGAGCCAGGATTAATGACAGTCATGCCAATGAGGCAAGATGCAATGTACAAGAGTAGGTTTTATCTCAAGTCAGTCTCTTGTGATATATAAAAGAGATTTAAACAAACAAGAGAGAAGAGAGGGACCACTAAGAAAGGAGAGATGGGATCAGAACGTTCCCTTTGGACTCAGGGTCCCTACACTTCTAAACCCAGAAACTACGAGACCCAGGAGACAATTAATGACAAGGCCCTTCTCTCAGAGCCATAACAGAAATCCTTCCCGTGGAGTCAGCATCTTGAATTTGGATTCTAGTCTCCTAAATAGTAAAAGAATAGATCTCTGTTTGTTAAAGCCACTCTTGCGGCATTTCTGACCTAGCAGCATTAGAGAACTCAGACGGACAGAGGGAAGATCACTGTGGCTTCAGGCCAAGGAACACCGGAGCTACTAGAAGCCCTCTGGTAGAGTCTTCAGAAAAAGCAAGGAACTGCTGACACCCTAAATTCAAGACTCCTAGCCCACAAGACTGAGAGACAACATGGTTCTGTCATCTTAAGCCACACTGTGTGTGGGGCTTCATTACAGCCACCCTGGGAACGTAACACAGGCCAACCTCATAGATATTGTGGGTTCAGTTCCAGACCACGGCAAAAAAGCAACTATCATGATAAAGCGAGTCACAAGTATTTTTCGGTTTCTCAGAACATATAAAAGTCACGTTTACATTAGACTAAAGTCTATTAGGAGCCATGGTGGCACCATGGGTTAAGCACTGAGCTGCCAAACTCAAGGTCAGCAGTTCAAACCCACCAACCACGCTGCTTCTAAAATGATTTAGTCTCAGAAACCCTGGGAAGTAGTTTAACTCTGCACTGGTATGGCGCTGTGGGTTAATGCGCTGGAGTGCAGTTGGTTTGAACCACAAGGTTAGTGGTTCAAGTTCACCAGCTGTTCCTCGGAAACTCAGAACCGACTCCAAGGAACAAAACAACAATAGGATCAGTGGATTCCTCGCATGGTGCTGTGGGTTAATGGGCTGGACTGCAAAATCAGTTTGAACCACAAAGTCAGCAGTTCAAGCTCACCAGCCACTCCTCGGAAATCCTATACAGGGTCGCTAAGAGACAGAACCAACTCGATGGCACTTAACAACAACAACAATGTAAGGTCACTATGCGTGGAATCAACTTGATGGCAGTGGATTTGTTTGGCAGTTTAAGTGTGAAATTTTGGTGACTGTGTGTCATCGAATCTGTCCTGACCCTTAGCGACCATATACAAGAGTTTCCAAGGCTGTAAACCTTTATGGGAGCAGAAAGCCTCACCATTCTCCCATGGAGAGACTGGTAGACTTGAACTACTGACTCTTGAGGTTAGCAGCTCAGCTTGTAATCCACTACGCTATCAGGGCTCCCTAAGTATGCAACAACATTATGAAAAAGCGTGAACTATTGTAGGAATGACCTAAATGGGATGCAGAGGCATGAGGAGAGCAAAGGCTGTTGGGAAAACTCCTGCTGACAAATTCACTCAAAGCCACAAACATTCCATTTGTAAAGAGCGCCCTGTCTGTGAAGCTAGATAAAGCAGTCCATCTGTATGCCTTCCCCATCATCTCCCCCACATGGAGTTTCCACTATGATGACCCCGCATCCCTGACACATTATTACCAACTCAAGGCCGCCGTTGTGTTCAGGTTCACTGTGTTGTACAGTCCTATGAGTTTGAAAATGCACATAAATGAGTCGTTGCTAAGTGCCATCAAGTCGGTTCCGACCCACAGTGACCCTGTATAGGGCTTCCAGCTCTCGAGAAACCTTCACCATCGCTATGAACCACTGCCACCATCAGCAGGTCTCTGGGTCCCTATGCTGAGAAGACCCAGTATTAGGCCCAAAGATCTATCCCTCCCCCCACCCCAAGGCCTCCCAACAGGGCAGCCAGGACATCAGCCCAGAAGATCTGGGCCTCGAACTGCCAAAGCTAAACAGGGAAAGACGAGGCAGATGGGGTATGGAGTTGAGGATGCTTCCATCTGAGAAGGGCAAACTGTTCCTTCTCGCTGGCGGGCTGCCAGTTGGGATGCTAGGTGCCCCTCCACCCTGCTAGCAGCTGCAGCAGACAAAAGCTCCCTGTGTGACAACCCATCTTGGGTCCTGCAGCCCAGCCCAGCCCAGCCCCCTTGTTGGCTTGGAGTGGGAGGAGGCCTGACGTTAAGGAGTGTCCTGCTTGGTCCCAGAAGAGGACACCAGGCTAATAGCCACTTAGGGTTGAGTCCACGGCAATGAGGGGAGCCTGGGGCCAGTGAAGTTCCTGAGGCCAGTCAGTGTCCAGAGCTCTATCAAGGCTATTCTGCAACTCTGCTCAGGCTGAAATGCTAAAACCAGGACCCCAACTAATGAGCCTGAGGTCAACGCTATCTACCAGAACCCAAGCAGGGGGACAAAAGGGACCCGGTAGCCACGTGCTGTGTGGCCAAGTAAGTGAGACTCCCTGGGACAGGTCCCATACCTACTCACCTGAATGACAGCCCAGGTGGGTCACGTGTCTCTTCTCTCCCTGGCCATCCAGAGGCACGATGCCCAGCACACCTGTTAAATCAACACACATGGGGCTCTGGCTTCTGGTTTCATGGAGACCACCTACATTCAGGCAGCAGACAGCAGAGCCAAGCTTCAAAGACACAGGGCTCCTAGGGATGGTGAGGCTGCCCCTGTCCTCAAACAACCTACAACCACATCCCTCCAGACACAGCAGCTGGCCTCTAGTGAGGTCCTTGTCCCTCATAAGACCTTTCCATGAGTTTACGTGAGAAGGAACCAGGACCCAAGGACAGGGAGAGGGAGAGGCTGGACTTGGGGGCTCTGTTTGAGTCTCTGGATGCAGAGCTGCCTGGAGCCCCTGGACATCTCAGTTAGCCAAACCAAAACAGCCAGGTTTTTTGCTGAAGTCAGCATATCTCGGCCTCACTTGCAAGCCCAAGTCCTAATTAACACACTGGAGCTTTTCACATCTTGTGCTCCTATGCACCCAGCCACCCCCAGGCCTGGACATTCTGGAACAGTCTTTCAGAGTGGAAGAGTGGGCAGGAAAGGAAGACATCTGGAAAAGAGGGACACCAAGCCCTGCCTCTCCTCAGACACAGAGGGGTCAGTCTCCCTCCCAGGCCTCATGCCACACTCCTACACACCAAAACCAACATGGTTTATACAAAGCCCCAGTCTCATCAAGTCAACCTGATTCTACTGTGTGTTGCTCACTGTGCAAGGGCTGAAGGCTCTGTCCGGCTGTTCAACTCCAGGCACCACCAGGTTCCTCCAAATCCCCCACCTGAGATGAGCCTGGCACCCTTCCCACTCCAGTTATGGACACCTGTGTCCAAGCCCATCCCACCTGGACGGTCGGAGTTAAACGCTATCAAGCTGCAGCTGGATTTGATATGGTTCCCACAAGAGGGGGTGGTTCCTGCTCGAATATCAGTGATCCAGGCCTGCGAACAGAGAAGAAAAGTGGCGATGATGGTCAGAGGTCCAGCGGGGCATCAATCGAGGAAGTATGCCTAAAATCGCCCCAATAGAGATGGTTTCCTTTGGCATAAACCCAGTGCCTCCAATAACCCACATGGTGGTGGTGGTGTGGCTGCTGGGTTCAAGGCGACGCCGTGTGTTTCAAAGGAGAATTGCTCCATGGGCTTTACTTGGCTGTCTCGGCGGACACACTTTGGAAGTTTTCAGGTGGGACCAGACCCTAAAGAGGGGCATGCTTGGAAAAATAAAGCGTCAGCATAAAAACAAGAACAAAGACGACCTGCTATGAGCTGGATGGAGCAGTGGCTGCCACCATGAGCTCACACACAGGAACGATTGGGGGGCTAGTCCAAGACCAAGATGTGCTGCACACGGTGTCATAGGAGTTGAAACCAATTCCACGGGATCTAATAACAACAATCTTTATGGAGACAGTTCACTAAGCCTGTCTTCTGCAGGACTGCTAGGTGGGCTTAAACAGGCAGCTTTGAGGTTAGCAGCTGCCTACACCACCAGGGCTCCTACATTATGAACTAAGTGTGTTTGCTTCTTTGATTGTTGTTGTTAAGTGCTGTCAAGTCAGTTCTGACTCATAGTACCCCTGTGTAGGGTTTCCAAGGAGCAAGTGGTAAGTTTGAACTGCTGATCTTGTGTTTAAAAGTCCAGTGCTTATCCCACAGCAGTTAGCTCCCTAAGAAGTGGGAGGAGGCTGTCAGAGGCTGCTCCTGAATAAAATCAATAGGTCAATTTGGCAGAGTACATGTGTGTGAGAGTGTGTGCCTGTTCCAACGGTGAAGGAGAAAAGCAGAGAGAGAAGCTCCCAAGACAGAAGACATACTCAACTTCAACTGTACTGCTGAAGGACACCCAGGCCCAGGAGTATCCTCCAAGCACCAGGAGAAAATGCCCGAGCTCAGAGGAGGGGCCATCAAGGCCTGGCCTCCTAGGAGAACCTGCCTCCCCCAAGGTGGGTGGACAGCAAACCCTCAGGAAAAGGCAGTAATGTGAACATTCCATACCTGGGGAGGCAGAGAGACCCTTGATCTGAAATGAAACCAACAAGGTCCGTATGTATTTTTCTGTTGGTATCAAAGCACCACCCAATGCTTGTAACTGTGAACCCAACCATCAAACACCCTTAGTTCAGTCCAGCTACAACGTCAGAGACTACTGCAGCCACACCTCCACTGCCATGGAGTCAAATTCTGACTCACAGCAATCCTGTGTAGGTTTTTTGAGGCTTTACAGCAGACTTGGGGAGTCTTTTTACTGCCAAAATGCAGGCCATACAAAATTATCAACTGAAAAATTAGCCTGCTATATTTGGCCAAGCATTTAATTAATTAACTCACCCTGAATGTGATGGCTGGAACTACGGTTGCTTTGGCAAGGTCAGACCAAATGGTTTTGAGGGCATATGGCACACGGAGTCCTGATGTGATGCTGTTCGGTTAATACACTAGACTGTAAGGTCGGTTTGAACTGTAAAGTGAGCTGTTCAAGCTCACCAACTGCTATGCAGGGTCACCAACTACACAACACTTAACAACAACAACATGCGGTCCATGAGTCAGATGTTCTCCACCCTTGATTTACAGAAACAGCCAGCCTCTTCTTTTCACCAGAGAAGCTGCTGGTGGGTGCCTAGTTCACTGTTCACATGCCACAGGTATAACAATTCCACATGGTGCTCTTTTTCCTTCCTCATTGGTGTTTAAAGAGCCCTGGTGGTGTTGGACTGCTAACTGCTAGGTTGCCGTTCAAACCTGCCAGCTGCTCCCCAGGAGAAAGATGAGGCTGTCTGCTCCTGGAAAGAATTACAGCCACAGAAACCCTTATGGGCTCACTATGAGTCCGAATCGACTTGATGACGGTGAGCTGATTGGTGTTTATAGTACAAAGATAGTGACAGGAAGTATCTTTGCAAAGGAAAACAGCCTACCTGTGATCTTTCCTCCCTTGCATAAACTGTCCCAGAACTTCCTGTTTGTCCTGCTGGACTGTGGCCCCCCGTGTCCATCTGGGGTCCCCCAAGCAGGACTTAAAGTGCCAGAACCGGTTGTTCTTAAGCACATCTGAGTGCCTCACTGTACTATACTCCACCCTGGCCTTCCAATGGCTCCCACTGCACTTAGAATGAAACCCACCTTCTTCCTGGCTCTGCTGGCTAGCTCTGGCCTCATCTACTCCCTCTTCCTCTGTTACTGAGCTCCAGCACCAACATCTACTTTCAATTCCTCTACCAGGCCCCCAAGGTTTTGGCACAAGTTGCTTCCCATGCCCTACAATTTCCAGAGCTGTTCTTCTCCCTCTTTCAGCCTTAGCTTCAACGTAGGGTGATGGTCCGCCCTGGTCCCTCTATTATGATGCACCCCCACTTCATCCTTCTTTACCTTTTCTTCTTTTTTTTTTTTTTGGCTTTTTTGTTTTTGTTGAGAATCTCCACAGCAGAACATACACCGATTCAAAAGCTTATACAGGGACCATTTGGTGATTACATTCTTTGAACTGTACAACTATTATCAGCCTCCTTTCTGAGTTGTTTCTCCTCAGTCAGCATGAACTCACCACCCACGAAGGAACGTGCCATGTGGCCTTAAATGCCTGCATGCCTCTTGGCTGTCTGTCACCCACCCCAGACTGTAGAGCTGGTATGTTCAAGTGTGGCACCAACAACTGTTGTTAGGTGCCTTGTCACGCACAGCATCTCTATGTCCCAGAGCAGAAATACCTCATAGGGTTTTCTAGGCTGTAATCGTCATCTCACATGCTTTTGGTCATGTTGTCAGGAGGGACCAGTCTCCCGAGAGGGATACCATGTTTGATGAAGTAGAGGGTCAGCAAAAAAAGGAAGACCCCTAACAGGATGGGGTGCCACAGTGGCTGCAAAAATGGACCCAAATGTAGCAAGGAGTGTAAGAATGACACGGGGATCAGGCAGTGTTTTGTTCTACTGTATGTGGGGCTGTTACGAGTCAGAACCCATTCTACAGCACCTAGACAACAACGACAATCTTTTTTTCAGCAGATTGCCAGGTCTTTCTTCCTCAGAACCACGGAGTGAACTGGAACCAACTTTTCCATCAGCAGCCATACCCTTAACCATTTCACCAAGCACTGGGCCACCGCCACCAGCGGGGCTCCTTAAAAGTCTAGCACTTAGTGGGCATTGAGGAAATAGAGTCAAGAAAATGAAAGACGCCTCAGATGCTCTTTGGAGAGGGTGGGCACTGGAAGTCGGCTCAGAGGCGCTGTTGCAGGAGGACACTCCCTGATGCTGCGATTGACCCCGGCCAAGGCGCTGCAGAGCGAGGATAGCACCCACTTCAGGTTGCTGCCCTCCCGGGGTCCTAGGCACCCCTCAGTACCTGCCTCTAGGCTCCACCTGCTGGGCAGTTTTTAAACCCCACCCAGGCCCCCGTCGGCAGAGGAACTGCACACCACAGCAAGGGAAGAGCTTGCGCCAAGCGTGAGAGGAGGAAGCGCCAGCGGAAACCCAGGGAGGGGCGTGGGGCTCCCCATCTCCGGCTGGCACGCGGCTCGGGCTTCCCAGGCCGCAAGCAAAGAGGGGCGTCTCAGGAGCCTCAGCCCCGGGCAATGAGACCCCGGACGGCAGGGCGGAGGAGCTGGCGCCCAGAACCACGGTTCCACTGGGAGCCCAACCGGAAGCCAGGAAGCTTCCCGCCTCACAGGCCTTAGGCCAGGCGGACTGCACTGCTTCGGGAGTCCCAGGACGAGGCTCTGGGCGTGCCGGACCCCGGACCCCAAAGGCTGCGCTTCACAGGGGCACCACACTTTGCCCCCTGGGACTCCCGGCGGCTGAATGCGGGGCCTGACGTGCAGGGGGCGCCCGAGAGACAAAGGGTACGGGCTACACGGGGGTCCTGGCAGCTTGGGGGTCCCCGTGCGGGCCCCGGTCTGGAAGTGGACCAAGGACGCGAACCCACGGCGCACGGGCCGGGCTCACCTCGCGGCGGGGCGGCCGGGCCTCTGTATGCCGGAACTTAGACACCTTGAAGCGATGCATGGCAGCGGGCGAGGCGCGCAGAACCGGGCGGAGGCTCTCAGGTGCACCGCAAGCAGCCGCGACTCCCGCCGCCTCCAGCCCCGCCCGTGACCCGTGCCGCCGCCACGCCCCACAGCGACTCTAGCCAATCGCAGCCGCCGCCGGACCTTCTAACCACGCCCTCGAGCTAGCTCCTTCCGCGCGCGCGCGCAGTCAGCCCCGCCTGCCGGCCAATCGTTGTCGTGCCGCCCCATGAGGCCACGCCCTGACCTCAGCGCGGAGATGGGGAGCGGTCACGTGTGTGCCGCTGTCCGCCCACAGCCGTGGAGATGCGTGGGGACTGCCAGCGACAATCGGGATTTTGTGTGTCATTTTTGTCCCTTTTGGCCCTGGAAGGCTTCTCAGTGTGCGTGGCATGCGTTCTCACACTTTGCCTCCCCAGGAAGCAAGGAGAGCAGACATTAGCCCCATTTCAGAACTGGGAAACTGAAGCTCAAGAGTGGGTCAGTCTCTGGCCCCAAGCGTCACCACTAGAAGGGACAAGGGGACAGGAGTCCAGGTCTTTGGACACAAATATCTGTCCATGGGGCCTCCGCAGAAGTTTCCTGTTTCTCCCTGTTTCCCACCTGACATCCTTAGGCAAGGTGGGGGTGTGCTCAGCATCCACTTGTTAGGGCATTTCTTGGTTGGCCTCTCACAGGCCTTGGGCATCGTGGGGCAGGGCTCCCCACAGGAACTCAGGTAATTGTAGACAAGTTACAATGTCCAGAGAAGTGCAAAGGAGACTCCCTTAAATACTGAAAGTGCACTAGATGCTATCTGGCTACTTCCTCCAGTGAGGATATTGGACATCAGGTTTATTGGTTTCACCTCAGGTGATTAATTTCACAAACATTTCTGTCACTTTGAAAACTGACTCCAGGATCCAAGAATGTGCTTTCTTTCCACTTGCAGCAGACAGGGCCTCAACACCTGCTCTTGCAAATCCAGGAAAAGGACTTTGATCAGAGGAATGCCAAGAGCTGGTCAGTTGCTGTGAAAATCCCCTGCCCTTAGCCTTACAGGGAAGGAAGCCTCACTGAGATGGGCCACCCAAAGAGTGGTTCTGAAACCTTGTCCTCCACAGGGGCCCAAATGGATCCCCAAATGCAAGTTCTTTCTTCTGTTCTCATAGTTTTAATTAATGACAGTGATTCAAAGATTAATGTTGTACAAGTAGTTGTTGGTAAGTGTCATCGAGTCTGTTCTTACTTATAGAGACCACTGTATAGTGTTTGCAGGGAGTGGCTGGTGGGGGTTTCAACTGCCATCATGCTATTCAAATCGACCTTGTGGTCCATTGCTTAGCCTACAGCGCCACACCAAGACTGTTATATGGAATGGGAGCTTTAAGCTGGAACTGACTCTATGACACCTAGTAACAATAGACTACTGAGGCAGCAATGATGTCAATGGTAAAATTCTCACCTCCGATTGTCACGGTCCAAGTGTTGTCCCTACAACAGTGTTACTCTCCTTCCAAGGAACTGGGAAGGTGTAACTCACCACCTGCTGCTTGGAAACCCTATACTGGGGTCACTATGGATCGGAACCGACTCAACAGCACTTAACAACAACACACTCAGTGCAAAATAAGTTAGATAAAATGAAATCCAATGAAAGATAGGTTTATTATAAGCAAAGACATTCTTACCAAGAGACGTAAGAATGTGCATCCACTTTGCAAAAGAAGAGGAAGTACACCCCTGAGTACAATTTGGTGGCTTCTTTATATATCCCTTTGTCAGAGGAGTGGGCTAGACTTCTGGTTTGAATGCCTAGGTAACCAATCCAGGGAATTGGTCCATATATGGTTTCCTTGAGTCTTGTCTGTCAGATTTCAGCTCGTTATTCACTAACTTTATTTCTCATCACAAGAGTATCCCTTCTCATCCACTGCCCTCAACTAACTTCATTTCTCTTGCAAATAGTCTCCTTAATACCCGACCCTTATTTTCAGAAATTCCTCACTGCTGAGATAGGCCATACCTAAATTGACTTGAGACCGTCTTCTTTTCCGGTTCTAACTACTTAATATCATACAGAGACCAAGGTTCAAATCCCCATCAATGCACCTCATGTGAAGCTATCAGCCATCTGTCAGTGGGTCCTGGTTTGGTGCTGTAAGATAAGCAATGGACTGCTAACTGCAAGGTCTGTGGTTCAAGCCCAGCAGCCATTCCTTGGAAACCCTATGTATACAGGTTTCTATGAATGGAAATGTCAGCAATTAACAACAACATGATGCTGAACAGATTTCAAAGCAATTTCCAGACAAAAACAAACTAGGAAGAGAGACTTGGTGTTCTACACTGCAAAACCAGCCAGTGTAAAGCCACCCAAGGATGACAATGGAACAGTGTTTGTCTTAGAACTTTCTAATAATAAAGGCCCTTTCAGACATCATGCATGTGCAAATATAATGAACTGGCTCTGTAGGATAAACACTGGACTGCAAACCACTACATCAGTTTGAGCTCACTAGCCACTCCACGGGTGAATGACGAGTCTTTCTACTCCTGCAAAGATTTATATAGCCTCATATAAGGTTGCTAAGAATAGAAACAGACTCGATGACCCTTAACAACAACTCTTATTACAAAACTACATGCAAATATCCAAAAATGTGTTTGGTTTCAGTTCACTGTTATACCTGAGTTATTTTGTTTGAAGGCTACCATTATGTCAGAGGGACTTAAGAAGGTCAGAAAGTGAGAAAGCCTTTCCCTGGAGGTGACAAATGGACATGCCATGGGCTAAATCTGAGCTATATAAAAAACCAAAGCAAAACAGAAAAAAAAAACAAACCTGCTGCTCTTTAGATAATTGGGACTCACCACAACCCCACATGGTACAGAGGGAAACCACTCCATCTGGTTTTCTTCACTGTCATCTTTATGGAAGTGGACTGCCAGGCTGTCAGCAGCACCACTGGGTAGGTTAGAACCACAGACAGCTAGATGAGCAGCTGATTGCAAACTGCTTGCACCCTCCAGGTACCTTTATTCTGTCCACATGGTGTTTTTGAAATAGGCAAATTTTATAAAAGTTTGGATTTTATCTCTTCTTGAAAAACACTGGGTCAAGATGGGTTGTCAATCTGTCATCTTTTTTTTTTTTTTTAATGTTTTATTGTGAATTATGTGATAGTTTACATGGGAGAACATTAGCTTTCCATTCATCCTATTGTATATCATTTCATTGCCATGATTACAATCCCCTCCATGCATCAACAACTAACCAAAGGGTATACCCTGCAAGCCTGCCCCCCGATTGTCAGCACACAGCCCCTCTCCCTCTCTGAGCCAATCTGTCATCTTAAACCTGCCCACATCACTCATTTATTTTATTTCACTCTTTTTGAATATTTTACTGTGGTTCGGGTGAAAAGTTACTAAGCGAATTCATTTTACATTCAACAGTTTATACACATTTTGTCGTTCTTCTGACTGCTTCCCCAGGTCCCTTATTTCCATTCTTCTTTCCTGCCCCTTCCTGCCTTCTGAACTTATTCTTCACCTTTTGGTCTTGAAGTTGCTCTGAGGATGCTCCTCACGGGTGTTATTAGTCACTTTATAGGCCTGTCTGTTGTGGTAAAAGGTGATCTCCCCACAAGAGTGGGTTCACTTCCAGACCTGAAGGGCGTCTAAGGGCCATAATCTCTGGCGTTCCACTAGTTTCTATCAGGCAGTAAGTCTGTTTTTTTGATTTTTGGTTTGAATAATTTAAAATTTTGTTTTACATTTTTTCTCCCATTCTGTCCAAGACCTATTTTAATCCTGATCAGAGCAGTCTGTAGGGATAGCCACCGGGCCCCACCTAGTTCTGGTTTCAGGCTCTGGTTCACATGGTCTGTTAGTCCTTTGCACACATTGTTTTTCTGAATTGCTGATTTTCTTCAGTCTTCTATGTTCTCAACTGGGAGAGACCAAAAGTTGCTTCTTAGATGGCCACTTGTAAGTTTTTAAGAAGAACCTAGGAATCCTGGTGTGGTGCTGTAGAATAAGCGCTTGACCGCAAGGTCAGTTTGAACCATAAAGTCAGCGGTTCAAACTCACCAGCTGTTCCTTAGAAACTCTATACAGGGTCGCTATGATGTGAGTCGGAAGCGATTCAAGGACACTTAACAACAACACAGTTGCTATGCACCAAAGTAGTATGCAGAACATTATCTTTTCCTTGCCTACCTGGGCCTGGCACCTGAACATGTGACTCCTGACCTAGACAGAAGGAAGAGAATTCCTTTCCCAAGACCTGTCTGTACCGGGTCATGTGACTGTGTTTCTCTAACCCTGGGGCTGCTGGACTCAGAGTTGAATATTTATGCCTGAGCTGCACAGGATGGGAGGGAAGGCACAGATGTTCATCATGCCCAGAGAGTGGCTGTCTTCCTCACATGTTCTCAAATCCACTCTGGCCAACAAGCGAGTCTTCCTAGTAGAGAGCTCAGAGCATTCTGGCTGCTGTGACCTTGAGCAGAACCATGACTGTGATTGCAAAGTTAGACTGGAGGGCCTCCTAGAGCCCTCCTGGTCCTCTGAGCCTATGAATTAAACCACAGACCAAAACCACTGTGTAAAGTCTATTTTGACTCAAGCGGCCCCATAGGATAGGGTAGAACTGCCCCCAGGGTTTCCGGTTTCCAAGGCTACACATCTTTATGGAAGCAGAAGGCCACATCTTTCTACCACAGAGCGGCTGGTGGGTTTGAACCACACTAACCTTTTGGTTAGCAGCTGAGTTCTTTAATCACTACATCATCAAGGATCCTATGAACTTGTAAATTACCAGCTTCCTTACTTTCTTTCTTTTTAAAATTTTCTGTTGTTGAGACTACATCAGTCTCCAAAATGTTATCAATGTCAGACATACATAAGGAGCAGAACATACACCGAATTGACCATTTCCACCTGTACAATTTAAGGAGCTGTGGTAGCATAGTGGTTACGAATCGGGCTGCGAGTAGCAAGGTCAGTAGTTCG